CCCACCCCCACCAAAACCAAAAACCAGTTTGCACAAGTAAACGAACAAAACATGCAGCCACCACCACTGTAGTTTGGGCGTTCTCACAAGTAAATGAACAGAGCATTCGATGGGTTTTTATTTTCTTTCTCCCAAAAACTTATTTTCTTTCTCCCACAAACTAGTTCACACAAATGAACTGGGCATTAGATCATTTTCTCTCACTCTCTTTTTATTTTAGCAATGAAAACAAATCTCATCTTCAATGCCAATAAATTCTATCCCTTTAATTAACAATTTTTATGTAAAACAAAGTCAAACGAACACTAAAAAACACTTTTATTTTAATATTTTTCGCGTAGAAATTATATCAATCAAACACAATAATTTACAATTCCCGGGAAAACAATTTCTAGACAATTTAATTCTCTGTAATTCGTTTTCAAATCAATTCAATTTCATCTTTATAATCAAATGGACCCTTATTTTCTTTCTTCCACCTTTTATCGATGGGTTTTGGGAGGGAAATTGACGGTGGATGGCATTATAGGTTATTATTACACCAGTTGTGTTATCTACAGCTCTTTTAGTATGCTTTCTAACAGGACATCCAGCTGATGTACGTTTGTAATGGTTCCTGGAATACATTCAACGGATAATTTAACATAGATGGCTTAAAGTAGCAAATGTTGCAAAAATATGAAATCCTCATTAACAAGCTCATATTTTGTGACAAACTGCGAAGAGAGTTTCGCACGCGCAGAGAGAAAAATTCAATTTAAAATGCTGTACTGAATATGCATGATGCTACCCAATAACACGACTATATCGACTTTATATTGAACACTAGTCTATCGATGGGTTACGGGCCTTCCAATGGCACCCATCGTCTCCTAAACTCCTGTCATTACCGTCAATTTGAAAGTCATCAATCATCAGTTATCAAAATGTTTGGTATGATGGATGGATAGTGAACAGAATTCATTGTTGAATTTTCAGTAAGAATGTCATGAATTCAAAAAAAACATAATTGTTTTGATAAATCATATCTTGAGAAGTTGCCATAAATGGCCAAGCCTTCATGAATTCAACTTGCACATTTTGTACAGTACATGTATTAATATCCCGTTTGGGAGGGATTTTGAGAAGCGATTTTTTGACCGTTAGAAAAAAAGCAAGGTCCACCTGTGAAAGAAGAAGTCAAAAATTACGACTGAAATAGTGAAATAAGGGTCAAAAAATCGATTTTTTGGAGTAAAAAATCCCTCCCCAAACAGGCTGTAAAATTGTGTACCACGTGTTTTTGCATTTATTTAAGGGGATTCCAGTATTGGTAACTAAAACATCATACAATCAGAAGCCAATAAAAAGAAGTTACACATACCAAAATTTGCATGTTGTCCACAGGATCTGCAGATCAAGAGATCAAGTTCCCAATATAAGAAGTACCCATTTCTTATTTGAAAATTGAGGAGAAGACAGTGAAGCAGTAATAATGAGAAGACAGTTGTCAATAGTTGAAAACCAGATAATAATCCAGGTCCATAGAGATAGGCAGCGCTTTTTCTTTGCAAAGAGACTAACATAAATGGGATACAAATTGAACGATAGTAAGATATAAGGACACTGATAGTAAATTTATTCCCGTGAAAATGAAAAAAAAGAAAAAAAGATGGATTTATTTGGGTGATTTGTCACATGTTTGCTTTCTATTGATATAATAGTTTCTTTAGAGGCAGAAGATATAGATACACATAATTGAAGGCACGAGAAATAATATATCACAAGAAGGCAACCTCAGAATTTTCATCAAGAATTAGAACCTCAAATGTTTCCTAATCCTCCAGCACAGGATCATCCTCATCATATAGTGTGAAGGGTCTGAGCTCTTTTACATTCAAGGAGTGTTGTCTTTTACCATGCACCATATAATATTAGGATCTCTAAGAACAATAATAATAAATAAATGCACGACATGATTAAGCAATTAGGCTAACCATGTTAGAAGAATACATAGCTGGATAGATCATCAAGTACAGAATATCAGCATCAGAGCCACAGTATTATTACAGACAGGTTTAATGCAATTGATCAAATAAAACAGTCAGCGCTCAGCATTCAAGGGCAATATTTAAAATTGTGTCCCACCTTGGGTGAGGGTTCCCCTTCACCGTCTTTTATCCATACTTGCACCACCTATAGCCATATCCTGATATCCCCACATCACCGGTTGCATGAACAATGAATTTAGGTTTCTTTCCAGGCTTGGAAAAAGATTGTGAATCATCTGAGGCATTTTTCTTCAACCTCGCAATCAAAAGATGTATTGTGGTGACAAAATCATCTGGAAAAGAAAAACTGTAACACGATATGAAGAAATAATGACTCAAGCAAGTCAGCAACTTACCGTTTCTTTAGTTCAGTTTTGTGAATGTGCTTCGCGCTACCATTAATTTCCATGGTCTCATCAATGCCACTCGAGTCTTGTTGTTTTGTTTCAGGAACCTAAACCGGTCATCGGTGGCCGGCATCTCCTTTGTGTGAGCTTTAATCTCCTTCCCTTAGCTCCCTATAACTAAGTGTAAGCTCCGCCCTCGGCCCCTGCCGTCTAGATTAGGCCGAAACTGAAGTCGGTAGTAATTAATTTCGAATTTAGATGTTCTTCCAAATTCCAACTGAACCGCAGTGCCGTGAGTTGTCTGCCGGCGCAAGTCTGCTGCCTAATTTTTCATTTCTTCGATTTTGCATGCTGCCTAATTTTCATTTCTTCGATTTTGCAGATTCTCATTGATTCAGTCATTCTCAGTTTCTCACTAAGTCACTCTGTCAGTAACTTGGTATGTAAATTTATGTTGTGAAATTGGATTGATATTTGATAGTGTGAAATTGTGAAATAGTATAAATTGTGAAATTGCCATCACAATGAAATAGTACTTGTTCACTTGTTAAGTGTGTTTAGCTCTGAATAATGTTTCATTTGAGAAGAGTAACACTAGTAGGAGAATATTGAACCAGGGAGTGGAGAATTGGTGGGATGAATTGATTACCTTCGTTAGGAATTTGATTGATCGATGTTTCCATAGGGACGTGTTTCATTTAACTGTAGTAATGTTCACACTCGAGTGCCTTCAACTGTTTAAGAAATTTCTCCATGAATTATACAAGTCGGAGTTTGAAGAAGTGGAAGAAAAAGATCCCTTCAGCCCCAAGATGCCCATTAAGAACAAGATGAGTAAATAGTTGGTGCTTTTTCTTACTTTAAATGTATAGTTTGGTACAAGATGAGCACATAGCATATTTATGGCTTGTTTAGTTGGGTTTGCTTCTGCCATCACAATGAAATAGTATAAATTTTGAAATTGTGAAATAGTATAAATTGTGAAATTGCATTGTGAATTTGCGATTTGGAAGGTGAATTGATATTGTGAAATTGGATTGATAATGTGAAATTGTGAATTGGATTGTGAAATGTGAATTGCACTTGCGAATTGAAATTGTGAATTTATGATCCTTTTGTTATTATGAATTATTCTCACTCACTTCAAGTAATAACTGGATATCAAATGTTTAAATCCAGATATCAAATGAATAGATATTTTCAACAAAAAAGGAATGTAGATAGTGTTGATGAGGGGGCATCGAATAATGTGGATGTTGAT